AAAGGCTTGGCTCAGAGTTCTGCTGACTGAATGAATTTTGTAAATATTGTATAAAAGTATGTCTATATTTAGGGTATTTTAGTTAATTTAAGTATCATTATATCTATATATATTTTTTTGTATACTATTATTTTGCTGTTGTTCTTTTTAATTTATTTTAGATATGGTTTGAATGAACACCGCTATCATCATTTACTATTGTCCTTAGTGATAGAATGTAATAATCATTCAATAAAATTTTTTTTTTTTTAAATAATTAAAAATCCAAACTTTTCAAAAGTTTATTTAATAAACAAAATCAATATATTATGCACTAAATTATAATCTTTTGAAAAAAATGAAATGAATAATAATATTCAATGAAAAATTATTTAAATTACAGAACAACAATGAGAAATTATAAAATTGACTGAAATTTTTCATATAGAAGTGTATACAAGAAATGTAAAAAATAAGAAGATTGTGAAGAGCATCAATATTTTTTTCATTTAGATAGTCCGCTTCTACCCGGAGCGCTTTCATCGTTCCTTCCATCGTTGATTATTTTTATCCGACTAAGCGAAGCGACAAGAGGATTATGTTTGGGTTTATACTAGAAGCTATGTAACGAATAGCTAAGCGAATGGCTGGTAAGTTTGATCGCTCAAATTACTTAAAACGCTTAGGGCACTGTTAGAGTTGAAAAATTTTATTTTTTAATAAGTATTTAGTAACCATTAAACGTTTTCATAATTATATTCAATGTTTAAATAGTAGAACGAAACATTATGAAATTTAAAAACAGGAGCCGCAATACACCAATTTTGACATTTACACAACGATGTGGCATTTCCTGAAATATTAATTAGCAACTCTTAAGCCTATCTAATTAATATTTTTATTTTTAACCATCCTAAGTATCTATCAAAACTCAAATTGTTCCTATTGAGATGTATGACGTATGAATACATACACTAAACGATATGAAGCAATGTCAATAATAAAAACAAACTAATAATATACTTAATCTCATTTATTTTTCTCGTATATAAATATAAATATATTGTATGAGTTTATACTTTTAGATCTAATGCTTACTGCTCTTGAATGTGGCAGATTGTGTTAATATTCAATAAATAAAATAAAATATATATATACAAATATTTATTGTTATAAATAGAAAAATCCCCACCACAAAGATTTTAGTCTCTACCATATACGTAAACAGTTAACCGACGATGTACTGATAGCAAATCTAGCGGGACAAATGTCTAAAAATGAAGTTTGAGATTATGAGAATAAATTTTGTTTCAACCATTGGTAAGATGTTAATAAAAAAAAAAACACATAAATAATATTGGGTTGATGGTTGACTGTAGTGAATAATTGAAGAGAATGATGATTAGGGTGATCAGTCAAAATAAAAAATAGCAAAAATAAATAATAATATTTATTTTTACATTTGTTACCTTAGTTTCTCATACCTATTGTTATGTGGTTCTTTTCTTTGTCCTGATGAAGGCCAATATATTCATTTTTGCTATTTTTTATTTTGACTGATCACCCCAACCATCCTTCTAAGTCAGTCATTTTTAAACTAAAAATTTTAGACATTTTTTAATGTTGCCGACGTTTCAACCCAAAAATGTCGGTCATCAGAACTGATTTTTTTAATTATTTTTTTTATCACATTAGATATATTTCATAAAAAACAAAAAATAGTTAATAATGGTAAATAGTGACGAATGATACATTAGATAAACAAGTGGGATACTTTACTTAGTGGAATAATTTAATTTATACAAACTGTAAAATAATATACATAATCAAATTATAAAATGTGATATTTAATATTGCTAATAATGATTGCAGTATTGAAGGGCCTAGTATTTTGGTGCCTGTATTTGAACACCTTCAATATTGCAAACATGGTTATATATTATATCTCTGATGTAAGAAAAAAAAATCATAACTGAAGATGACCAATATGTTAGGGTCTAAACGTCGGCAACGTTCCTGATTATTTATCTTCTGTTCAATCAGAAATCAGAAACGTTTATTACGCGTTTTTGTCTGTTACTTTTTACGTACGAATGATTTATAAAACATTCAATGACATTTTTCAACAATAACGAATTAAGATGAGAAGGAAATATATTAATACCAAAAACATGGCAATCGGCCACACTGTGTAACCTTTGGCCAATTTAGACGTCATCTGGGTAGAAAAGACAAGTTCACATAATTTGCAAAAAGAAGAAAAATAATGGAAAAAAAAAATACATTTTTTAAAAACTGGAGGTTGCATAAACGCAGCAGATTATGTTGAACAGCTGATTGGAAACGAAAATAGAAAACAAAATACACACATTATAGTAATGTATTTAACTTACAAAAACAAATTATATATGTGTATATATATATATAGGTAAGTGAAAGTAAAATAAATATTAACATTTTGAGCGACTCTTACCGACCCTACATATTTTTTTTTTGTTTCAAATAAAGTTCCTGAAGATCAAAGAAGGAATACAATTATCGAGTTCCTTAATTACTTTTTTTTTCTTATATTTTTCTTTATTCGATAAAGCAATGAGGTGTTAAGTATCAAAAGAGTATTTTTAAGTAAAAGGAAACCAAGCTCGAGTGCCGCCAATGAAGGACAAAGTGAGGAAATTAGTTACTTAAAGGAAATACGAGCTGCGAAGAGGAGACGGAGGAGAAAGAAATTGTTTTGATCCGACCAACTTCTCTTTCAATCTTTTTTTATTTTCAAAACTGTTATGTTTTTTTATTATGTTAGCTAATTAATTATAATTTATTTCAACGGTATAATAATAACTACGATTTATATTTTAAGAATGTAGTGTAATGAGAATAACTTCTTTGCAGCTACAAATCTACAATATTTCCATTACAAATCTACATTATTCCATTGGAAGAGATGAAAACTTGTTTATATATATATATATATATATATATATATATATATATATATATATATATATATATATATATATATATATATACCATTCCATATAGCTGTACATTACTAACATAATAAAGTTGTTATAAATAATAGGCTAAGAACTATTAATCTCTTATAATGAAGCACTAATACATTTTCAGAGTCATGTTTAAACAATCAATGCATGACCTTTAGTATGTTAATTATAAAATAAAATCTTTTTAAATTTCTTCGTGTGAATGTTTTTCAAAATTTTTTAACCAAACATATGGGGGATATATATTCATATTTCGTGCTCATGAATGGTGGTAAATTGATTCATAGATCATTTTGAAGCTAACTATATAGGCTTCTATTTGGTATTTAACATTAAAATGTATTTACTTAAAAATTAAAAAAAAAATAGTAGAAATCTCCCCGACTTGCCATAAAAAATAAAATCAAAATTTTGAATATCCGAAAATATTAAAACACGTTTTTCTATTATATAAACGTTTTTAGTCACCGATATTTTATCATATTGGGTTGGCAAACAAGTCCTTTTGGTTTTTAAGTTTATTTTTATGTTATTATGATACACTTCTTATCTCATGAATTAATCCCTAAGGTGTATTGTGTATCCTATTTGTAATATGTCAACAACTATATATGTTAATTCTTGTTCAAACTAACTTAGTATTATGTTTGCTATTGATATGAATATGGAAGAAAATATCATTCATCATTGGCATATTTGGTTATATTATTTTAAAAAACGTAAGCGAATTGCAGAAGCTAATAGGAAAAATTGCACTTAACCGAATGCACCTGTCAAAATTGGTTTGCCAAATTTCATTCAAGAAATTTTGACATCAATCATGTTCAACGGTCTGGTCGCCCACATGGAATTGAAACGAGCAATGTTATTAAGGCCATTGTTGATAAAAATCCCACCCTATCAGGGCGAGAGATTGCTGTGGCCCTAAATGTGTCGCACACAAGCGTAGAAAACCATTTGCACAAGCTCGGCTCTGTTTCCAGGCTTAATGTTTGGGTCCCTCACTCTCTAACCGAAGTCAACTTGGCAATACGCATTTCTGTTTGTGATTCACTATAAACGGCAACCAAACGACCCAATTTTGACCAAACCAAACAACGCACCATGACAACGCTATACCCCACACCTCATTGGTCACTCGCAATAAATGATTGAGCCTTGGATCGGAGTCTTTGCCCCACCCTTCCTATTCACCAGACCTAGCTTCAAGTGACTACCACTTATCCCAGGTCTCTGCAGAACTCTATGAATAGAAAGAACTCCCAAAAGGAAGAGGACATCAAAAACTCCAGACATTCTATGAACCTGGCATTATGCAGTTAGTGGAATAATTCATATTAAATAATGGTCAATATCTTAAACATTAAAATAAGTTTTATGTATATAAAAATTCAGCTTTATTTCATCCTGAAAGGGTTTAGTTGCCAACCCAATACATATAAGGTGGAATGTTTGCAGAACACAGACGCCGTGCGGGTTTTCGGATACTGCGCCCTAACCCCAGATAAGATTTTTTCTAACTGTTCAGATGTACGTTTTCAATTATTATCTTCTTTAATGATTTCTGTATTTCATACACATTTTTCATTTGTATGCCTTGTTAAAAGGGGGTTGGTCTGCTGTCGGGAGGACAGGAGATATTCCCTAGTCACCTATTATTTATATGTCTAAGATAAATTATTCAAATGTGTGAAATTTCAAAATGATTCATCTGGTTTTTATTTCCACGCGCCTAGTATTAAGGTATTCATTATTGTGTAGATACTCCATGATGGATTGATCCGAGTACCTTTCGTCCACTTAACCTCCTTGCCTTCATACCATGAGATATTGATTGACCAGTTTCTGTAAGCAGTTCCTTATGGGTCCTTCTCCTTCGTGCATTTATACTTTGATTCAACATTGTTCCAGTTATATTTCGGAAGATTTTTTTTCTTAAATATTTCAATACTTCTTGATCTAGTTTATATTTCAATATTTTATATATTATCGACTTAAACAAAAATATATCAATCAATGACTCCTCAAATCACTGTTACTCCTCCATTAATAACTGCTACTGTTGTTACAGGTACCAAGTTCTTGTGTAGCGAAGTGATCGCCCCGGTGAAGAGTGAAGTTGACGATATCCGGCTCTACGTCATCAACTTCGAGGATTTGACCAACCCTAGTAGCCCCCTCGACGAGCGGGGGAACAACAGGCTTAGCAAGTGTAAATATCTTTAAATTATAATAAGTATATTATATTATATATTATAATATAATATATAATATAATAAAAAATATATATACATTTAAGAGATGGATGTATAGTTGACTGTTACAATTTCTAGTATGGCTGAAAATTGGTCAGGATATGCAGCCTTAAAGTAGGTTAACTGGAAATGCAACTTTAGATCAACACATTTTTACAATTTTTTCAAAAACGTCTCTAACGATTTTGATTAAACTCGGTGTATCATTGAATAATTAGGTAATCTTGAATATTATTTAGGTCTTCTTCCCATTGATGTCTCTTAACAGGGCTTAAATGCCCAATGTTCAACATGTCTTCCTTTAAATTATTTTTACTTTTGTTTATTTTAACTAATTAACTATCTCTCATTGTTAGGAGTTAGAAAAAAATGCTTAATATAGCTTGATAATTTTATAATGGAAAATGGAGAAAAAAAAACGGAAAAATGTTTATTTAGGTCGAAAATGAATCTCTGGAAATTCTAGTGAGAAGGTATACATATAATATATCGTTGGAAAGCGAAGAATTTCAGAAAAAAAAAAAAAATATATAATAAATAAAGTTGTAGAAGGTAATGGAGAGTAACGAAAACAATTATAATTTTTTAAACTAACATTATTTAAAGTAAATCACATATATCCAAGGAAATCAAATGAATTTTTCTTACTAAATGTAAACTTAAAATTCTTTAAATTTTAAATGTAATCAAAATCTATCAAATCACAGCATTGTTTATATACTATTTCACAGTACTTCTGTGAAAGAAGAAGTGAAATATTTTTTTTTTTTTTTTTATTATTTTAATGGAATTTACAACTGTATTACATAGAGAATACAATAAGTAAATGTGAAATTGGTAACATGGCATGTACAACATGAAGAGAAACTACCCATTGGTAGAACTCAAAGAAGTGAAGTATAAAAATATTTTATGGATATGTTTATAACTTTAAATACGTTATCTGTATTTTAATAACTCCGATATTTTTTTTTTATTGAAAAATATTACAATCTGTCTCTAGGACATTTATAATAGAGTTCACAGATCACATTCACACTCTATGTACAATAAATAAAATAAATACTATTACATTTAAATAATTAGGCAGCTATCATTCATTTATTCCGAAAAATAATCACGTAAAATTTTAGAAAATTAAATTAGTGAATAATTTGATGATTTTTCCCTTTGCGATATCCCAACAGAATTCACTTAAAATTAGTGTGACAAGTTTTGATCAATCTATGACAGACAATACAAATCTCATAATTGCATTTTCGTTAACTCTGCAATGAAAAATAACATTTTAATAACTAATAGTCGAACAATTCATAATCAATGTATCGTACAATCCATAATCAACTATTGATATAATAAATTGGATTTATGTTATTTTAATGGTACCAATGATTTGCTGGATGTAAGCTTTACACTTGAACCCAGTTAAAAATGCATTTCAAAAATTTTATAATAGTCCAACATTGGCAGAAAATAATTTTTATTTAAAATAGAGCGGTAAGTGAAAGTTGTGTGTTGCGGGCACCAGAACTTTAACTACAAAGAATAGTATTATTAAGGAACAAATGCACGCATAATTATCATTTTTCCGTTGCAATATGTTATTAATAACAGGTGATATATAGTTTTCCAGGACACACGTGATACGATCCTACAGTTATTAGACTTTGAAGCAATGGGTAACGACATAGTGTCTTCGACGTTTCGGCGCTTCTACTCTCGTGTTACGACGCTCAACTTCAACATCGGCCGTAACATATACCTCAGTTGGAACAAACGTAATCTATTGAATGATAAGAGTGAATTTTAACGGGTTTTAATCAATTTGGCTGAATTAACAATAAAATTAATCAATTTTCTTTAACTCAACTAATACATTGATTGCTGCAATGATAAAGGATTACCCTGAAATTATGGTTTGGAGTATCCATAAACCCAAAAATAGAATGTTGGATCTCGTATTTAGTTTCTTTTCAATATATAATAATATATAATATATATTCTATTTACTTATGGCCCCTTCGACTTCCTTATCTGGTAGACCCTTTCTTGCACTGCTAACGATATCGTATGAATTGAAAACGAACTAAATTGTTTATCGATTTGGTATTTGAGGCATGTATTGCATTTTGCGATTTATCTTGCTTGAGGTATGATTCTAATGTTTTTTGTTTTGTAGATTTTGTGGGGTTATTTTTTTTAAAATACATTAAAACTAATACAATATATAAATCTTAATATACATATTATATATTTCAATAATATTTGTTGCCATTACCTACTTGGATTTTTTTAGATTTTGGAAAATGTTATCCGGTGTAGCAACAATATTTTTGGGAGCTAACTTAATTTATGTGCGGTTTTAATTTTTTATCAGATGAAATGAAGGTAAGAAATAAAATTTAAAAAATCCAAAAAAAAGATTTTCAGAGCTTTTTTTAGCTCAGAGAAAGCTAAGCTAGAATTTAGTAGGTTTGGATAGACCTAGAGTTTGTTACGAAAGGATAGTTAGCTGGATTTGGCTTAATCAGCAACATCTCGAACATTAAAGTCACTATGGATAATTTTAAGAGGAGTTAGTCGAGGGTGCGGTCAAATAAATAAAAAATTAAAATATATTAATTATTTTAATTTTTGCCGACGTTTCGACCCACTTTGCAGGTCGTCTTAGGGCTACAAAAGATACAAAACATGTTGAAAATAAAAAATAAATATAAGTATATATAAAATAAGAAGAAGTTGTCAGATACAGAAATAAAAGATGGTATCAGAGATATAGTGACAATGTATCCTGTGGGTGACAATGTATACAATGAACTCCTTCTCATATTATATCAACGGTCAACCATCTCTACATCATTATGGATAATTTTGTTTGTGACAAAGTAACAACTATTAACAATTTTACGAAAGAATTTTGATTGTAAGAATTCAATACGAGAAGATTTTCGTGGAGCCCCAAATCTCAAATCATGAATGGTTGACTGTAGTTCAAGCTTCAACTTGACTTAAACTCAAATTGTACAATTGGCATATAGGCATATAATTAAGCCATACGTGATTAATTGGAAGGTTAAAGCATCCGAAAAAGCCCAATAGTACTTGTTTAAGTAATATTAGGATAAAGGAAATAATATTATAGGATACTGTAGAACATGAAAATTTATGAGTAAGGGTTGAGAGGGTTTGATGGGATTTGTATGAGTTAATTTTATCTTTATGTCCTTTGAAGTTTCTTATATGTGATTGAAGATTTAGAGATGCGATTGATGGGTGATTATTCAGTGATAGTAAACATTTTTTATTGGTGTTTTTATAATGTTAATATAAACATAAACTGTGTTGAACATGGAGCCGATGATACTTCCTTGAGCAAGTCTGAGACAGATTGAGGAAAAAGAAATAGATACTATTTTTATTCACCTTGAGTAGTCTGTCAGTAAGACAGGAATGAATGATGAGAAAAGCGTTACGAAATGAAAAAAAAAAAAACAATCTCTGGTGCCCAACTAGATCAAAAGCCTATTCGATGTCGATTGGTATGTATGAGTAGAAGTATTTTTATATTTATTTTGGGGAGGGAGAAGTGGAGTGGGGGAAGAGGTTGAATATAAAATTTTAATTTAATTTCTAAACTTTCTATAATTTTCAATGCATATGATTTGGTAGACTTGTTGTTCTTTTCAACGGACTATCAAAATTTCAATGGAAAATTCATTCTGTTAAAATACCTATAAAGTACAATCGCTTTATATAGTCTACCCTGATAAACCTTAAAATGTAACAGTTTTATGGACTATACAGATAGATAACAGACTCTTAAAGAGCAATCGAAGGGCTTTATAAAGTATTAAAAAGACAATAGGCATGTCCTTATGATTAAAACTTCAATTTAGAGCAGTGTTCTATTATAGTGAATAGGAAATCATTTCGCATGAATCCACTAGGAGCGTTTATTAGCTAATATTCAAGATGAAGTGTCAAAATAACTGTCTTCATAAAAATGGTGGAAGAAAGAAGGAAAAAATAAAGAAAAAAGTCAAATTGGAATGAAGAGGAGAAAGGAAGTGAGAACAAGGTTTAGAAGAAGAGAAATGGAAAAAGCATTGATAGATATTTAAGCAAAGAAGTCATATTAGAGCGAAATTGCATTAAATAAGAAATTTTGGATACTCAAGCAATTTGGTATACATTTCAGCCAAGTTTAGTCTATTCTTGTTGCTATCTGGAATACCTCGAATTTATGCAATCTTCACATTAAGGAATCGTTTTTTTAGTACTGCAGCTCTCGGTCTAGTCATTTATTCATGATTCAAATATCTACATATATATATTTTTTTCGATTCAAGTATTTATCTGCACTTGTCATGCATGATAAACGAGCAGATTTGTTGTGAAGAATTAAATGATTGGCATTACAGGCATGAGGAAGGATAGCACCCAGTAGAACCTATTCCTGGCCATTCTTTCCTTCCTTGATTTAGGAAAGGAGATCTCTCACCCAATTTCTTTTCAGTTGCCTCTTAATGAACGTGTCAAATTGACAACGTTTTATAAGTCTGTTATTGTGTGCATGTAGTTAGTTTAAAATCGAAAGTAGAGATGTATTGGTCAATAGCTGGTTGTCGTGAGTCTGTATGAAAAGATTTGTTGTTTATGTACCAGGGAGCTGCTGATATTAGGCCTAAAATTTTATATTGAAATTACTGTAGATTTTGTAAGTACATCTTTTTTTCTGAAAATCTGAGAGAGGTAAATCCAGGTTAAGGAGTCAGTATTGGTCCTTGAGGTACTCCTACAAACACTGGTCAAATTGAGGAAATTTCTAAGCCTTGTCAAACAGTGAAAAACCTGTCGAAAAGGAAAGACTGAACGAGATAGTATATGTGAGGTAGTAGAGTTTGGAGTTTAAAGAGAATACCTGGTGCCACATTTTATCGAATGCCTGAGAAAGAAAAATTACTTACTATT